ACAAACAATTCCCAAATTCATTCTCCGGATTTTAGAAGTTCAGGCTGGGAAATGAGCTGCATTTATATATGCATGTGAAGTTTACCGGCCCTAAGGTATGTTATATCAGCAACAGATTTCCATGCAGTGAACCCCTGGCCAAGAGCTGCATCCACAGTAAAAGCAGAGCAGACTTATGCAGCCTGGCCATGTGTCCCTGCAGAGAGCCTTGTGCCTGGCTGTGGAAGCTGCTGGGTTGATTTGCAGCAGTGATTTGGCAACCTCAGCACTGGAGGAAGCCTCGATGGTCAGTTTCTATCTGAAGCTATCACTGCTAATGGCATTTTTCTGCTCTGTCTAGTTTCATCACCTAATAAATATTTGGAAAATGACCAAAATCAGCTTGCACAGAAAAGTGATAAAGAGTACAATTTAAAACTTGTAACTTAAATGAAAGTAGACATGTAGTAGCTGCTTAGACACTGCACTTCAAAGCCGAAAACTACTTCTCCTTGCTAACATTTGATGTTCTTTAACAGGGTGAATTATCTAAATAGTTTATGCTTTATTTAACAGAAATTTCCAGTAAACCTCATTCCATCACTCTGAGTTATGTCACTTCATGCCATGTGACATGAAGGCACTGATATAAGTTTGACAGGCAGTGGCAATACTGACATGTCAGTCTGAGAATTTATGACAAATTATATGCTACAGATATTTTTAAAACTACTGTGGATTGCCAAGAAAAAAAAAGTCTTTAAAATGTGTAATTACACTGGGTATATCTATCTTTAGATTTAAAACAAGATATTCACTTCACATAGTTACATTGATGCAATGTTCAGGCTGACACTTCGTCAAAAAAAATGAAAGGAAATTTATGTTGAAATATTCCAAGTAGCTCCAGTTATATATTATATAGCAAAGGAAAATGAGATGTGTCAATGTAATACTTTTGTAATTTTTTTAAACACTGTGTCATTAAGTAATACTGTTAGCATTTAATAATTTGAAATGATCAATCTCAAATATCAAGAGAGGAAAGAAAGGCCCCACCTGAATAGAGAATGACTTATGAAAACTCTATTGCAGCAAAGACTACAACATAAAAGAGGGAGGAGGGAGAAACTTTCACAAGAAGTGGTACTGATCTAAAGCATGTGTTTTTCTTTTTCTGGGTTTTCGTTGTTTTTTTTTTTTTTTTGTAATCTCATTTTTGTACAAATTACTTATAATTTCTTTGTAATCTCTGTACTTCAGTTAAAGCATGGTTAGATCAGTCATGTGTGAGCTTTCAAGCATCTATTTTATCTTCAAATTTCTTACCCCCGTAATGGAAGAAAAAGAGACTGAATGCCTAAGAACTAATCAAATTAGTGAAGCATAATCTTTTTTTTTTCAAGGCAGAAGATTAGCTTATTAGAGGGGAAAAAAAAAATGAAAGGAAAAAAGTAAACTCTATGTGCTAATAGGACATAATTGTTCCATACATTAAAAATACATTTATATTGTAGAACACCAGAAAATTCTCTCTCAATATTGACCTAAATGCACCAGAATTCTATTTGTTCGATTCTTCTTCAATAACTAATCATCCCAGAAATCAAATCCTCAAAACAGGCTCATGACGGAAATGAGTAGATCTGTTGCAGCTGGAGGTGCTGTATTTATAGAATCTAGCTGAACTTCATGCCATAATGTTTTCATTCTGATAGCCTTCTTCTTTCAGGTATATGAGTCTGATTTCGGCCCAGTGTTCACTAGAGAGATGGAGAGGTGTCACAGGCATGGCATCGGTTAGTACTGATAGCAGTATTTTCAATAGAAGGGCCTCCATGAACATCTTGGTTTTGACTACTGAACATTTTCCTGGTAATGCCAGGTAATTTGACTGCTGAACAATTTCCTGCTGATGCTGTGTGCTGCTAGAGCACTCCATGGCAGTTTACACTGTTGCCACCTGGTACATTATTATCCAGGGAATGTTTGCAGTAGATTATTGCACCAAGTTCTACCTACAAAGTAATCACAAAGGCATAGTCCGATTAGAAGGATGCCTTCTGTTGGGAATTCTGAAATCAACTTAAACAGGAGCTGATTTAAGAGCGTACATAATTGCACACAGATGTTTGGCTTAGAGCTGCCCACCATCCCTACAGTCAGGAGAATATCCAAACTCTTCAGAATCTCAGAAAGTCAAGTCCGTACTGCACAGAAAGCTGATTCTGCCTCTGTTCAGTGTAACCATGTATCAGTTTGTTGCTTTTTACATCAACCTGTAGTGACTTTAAAAGGGCAAGGAAAGAAGCAAAGCTATAGAGAGCCAAATCCATCTGGACAAAAAAATTCCACCTGGAAGGGCTCTCCTGCCAACTTTGAGGACAATGCTAAGTTCATGTCTTTTGTAGTTTTTAGCGTTTGCATTTATACAAACTAAAATACAATTCTTCACAAAGAGAACTGTGGCCTTTTCCTGAATGTTAACACACAGACAAAATAAAGCAGGGACAGAATAAGGCACTGTAGGAGCAAGGAGATGATGGAACAAAGCCTTCAGCTTCACTTAGGGGAGTTAGCACTTGTGCTGAGAAGGCTCTCCAGCTTCCTGAGAGCTTCATATCAAAGCACATCTCCATAGCAGAGAGCCTGACTGTCTTGTATCGACCCACAGACCTGACGGCTAAATCCTGTGCAAACACATGGAAGGAGGTGTACACTCCGAGACATCCAAGCCCAGTGCCACAGACAGAACAGCAGCAGGGGAGAACATAGGGCAGGAAGAGATGATCTTATTCTCTCTGAGCTCATCTGAAAGCCGTATCTCTGCTTCCTGTCTGTTACAAAGGCAACTCCTGGCAAAAAGAAAAAAATCAGTAAACAGCTTTACCAGTCGTGTTTGCAGACTATGAAGTGTTTAGCAGCTACTAGGTGTGGAAGGCCAGGGTTTTGAAGGTGTACGTCATACAAATGTTGGAGGCACACATGGTTTGGAGATCACTCTTCTGGCATTCATGCTTTTCTGTTCAACAGCTTTCATGCCACAGTTTTCATGAACTCTGAATTCTTAGTGTGTTTGGGGTAGAAGCCAATAAAACTTTTAGAGCTGAAAAGGGCCAGGCTTAACCATGAGTGCCACCTTTCTGACAGAACTTGACTGGCAACAAAAGGGCTGGACTTGCATTAAAATAAAACAAAACCTGCTTATAAAGCCTCACCTTGAGCCTCCACCCAGAAACCTGGGAAAAGTAAACCAAATTAAACAACTTCACCTGCTCAGTCAGTTAATTTTCCTCATCCATAAGCACAAATCAGTCAGCTTTAAAAGCACCAGTTTGGGAAATGAAAAAAGAACAAAGGAAAAACAAAACAGAAAAACAGTGTGACATATTAAGGACATATACATAGTGCTTGAAGTATAACTTTAAGCATTTTTGCAGTGGTCTCCTCTGCTGGATCCGACCAGCTGCTTGCATCGCTCACAGCAGGGCCTGCCCCACTGCTCCTCTAGATAAGCATTGCAGCACTATTGCTTGTAATTTCTCTTATTTCACCTTTTAGGCCAGAACATATATGGCAGTGGGAGCTAACAGTCTCTTTCTATACAGGAGGCTCTTCAACAGTTTCTTCTCTAAATTCCCAGAATTGTAGCAGTTTCTGCTTTGTGAGAGACTCTAAACAAAATCACTTCTTTTTTTCTCTTCTTGCATATAACTTTTGCCCTCTGATGCTAGAAACTGTTGCCTTGATCTCTCACCCTAAGTACTCTTAAGCATAGTTAATTAGTCCAGACTTTAACCTGGTTTCAAGCAGCTTTCCACAGTATGACTTTTGTTAAAATAAAATAAAGCAAATCATCTCTCCATCTTAGTAAATCAATGCACGTGAAATAAAGGTGGCTCACACCTGACCAAAGGTTCTTTCCATTCACTGCCTTTTTTTCTACAGGGGATAGTATCATCAGCAAGTTTCTTCTCTTGGGTCACCTTCTCTTCTGCACTGCTTTGGTAGAAGAACCATGACTTGTCAGCATGTCAGCAGCCAGACTTACAAAGGAAAAGCATCAGCATTTCATGTGTTTCACCCTGTAGCTCCACCACTGACACTTTTGCAGCCCCCTGCCAGGAATCACATATCCTGCAGACCAGAAGCACAGGCACTTGAAAGGGCTCACTAGTATTACAATTTGATATGATGGGTCTCCAACCCGAGGCTCGCCAGACCATCCTATTCAAGCTAACTCAGTGGCTCACAAGTTTCACCTGACAACCATTATACTCACCTCCTTTGTTCTCTTTTCAACAGAGGGAGGTATCATAAAATACGTGGCAGATGTATTTATACAGTGATGAAAGTAGTGACTGCAATAGAAAAGATTAGATGTATAACCTACATTTAGGCTCAGATAATTTTACTTGGTGAAAAAACAAGAAAAATTCAAGAAATACATTTATCTAGATTACTGGTGATAGGCAAGATTTCATCATCCACTTGGTGTTTAACCTCCTGGTGGTCATGTCAGTAGGACCCACTGGTGTATTTCAGACCCTTTCACAGCTATTAAGTTTTTAAGAACCTCAAAATAAATGACAGTTGTTACTGGGAGAGAGTTGCCATTCTTTTTGCACTGGATAGGTTTCCATTTTTCCTTGATCAGACCTTTAATTGCTTGTGATGAGCCTCCAGATCTCACTGTCTGCTACTGCAGGGCTGAGGTTACCATTGAAAACAGTCATGGCCATGTGTTGGTGGGTGTCCTGTGGGCAGGGGGCTGCTGCCACATGTGGCTGACACCCCCAGCACTAAGACTGCTGCGCAGCAGAGCAGTGTGGCTCTGGGGACGAGCAGACTGGAACCAGTAAGGACCCAGTAATGCCTGATCTGGTACATGGCATCTGTTTCCACTGGCTGTGCCTGCCAGGGCAATGCACAGGCAAGCGGCCAGTCCTGGGGAGAGGGCTCAGGGGATAGCACAGCGCAGGGGCAGTGTGGCCCTGCAGCAGGAGCTGCTGCCCGGCACCTGCCTCAGCCCATCTCCCGGCTCACTGCGTGACTGTCCCAGGGGCTGGCAGCACCCCAGCACACAGCGCCCTGCCTCTGGCTGGTGGGAGCGGGATCTCTCCCTGGCTCTTGGCATGTCTGGGGTGGAGGTGCTGGGCTCCCAGGAACCCGAAGGCGCTGGGACATGCATGGAGGATGTCCCCTCCATTAAGGAAATTGAGCAGCTCCTGAACACTGGGCGGCCCTCTTGCAATCATGTTGATGAAGTATGGCCTAATCTCTTCTTAGGAGACCTGTAAGTACAGCTTTACAGACATACCTCTGCCATACATTCTGTCTGTTAGTATGCCTCATAGGTGCAGCTTTAGACAGCTCATAGTTTTGCTAATTGCTATCATTTACACAGAAGACAGCACAGTTTCCGAGAGAAAATTATGACTAAGCTGGTACTTTCTTCTTGGTTAGCCCTCAGAAGCGATGCACCAACACTCCAGCAAATGGCTTGGGGGATGCAATCACAGCACTTTTCCTGCTCCGTGATTATCTCTGCGCACATCTCAATTTGTCTTTGTCTTTTCCTTAGAGTAACAGCTCAAAACAGATTTGTTCTCTGGAAGATGGGTGTGACCCATGTTTTAAATGCTGCCCATGGCACATCATACAGCCACGGAGGCCAGGACTTCTATGGAGATACCATTGATTATTATGGTGTACCAGCCCATGACCTCCCAAGCTTTGATATAAGCCAGTTCTTTTTCTCTGCAGCACAATTTATCCACAACGCCTTGAACACACCAGGAGGTATGCAATTATTGTTGGTCTCATTTTCATGCAAGTTGGCAGTCTCTAGCAACAGGTCAGCTCCACAGACTTGGTGGCAGACAAGTCACTGCATGGTCTCCTGCCATCCTGCCAGCTGCTGGTCACCTGCATGTTGGGTGGCAGGAGGAGGGAGCGCTGGCTACATGGATGTAGCTCTAACTAGGTCTCAGAAAGCTGGTGTGAGAAAAGGGCTGAACAGTGTATGAAAGAGACTGGGGCAGAAAGGGGAGGAGGGGAGAGGAGAGGAGAGAAAAATATCTAGAAAGAAAGGCTGGTTCAAAAAGGGAGAAGCAAAACCATGCATGTTGTAGATGCCCCATCCCTGGAGGTGTTCAAGGCCAGGCTGGATGGGACTTCAAGGCAACCTGGTCTAGTGGAAGGTGTCCCTTCCCATGGCAGAGAGATTTGGAAATAGGTGATCTTTAATTTCCATTCTAACCCAAACCATTCTATGGTTCTCTCCATTTAAAATGGACACCCTCTTTTAAGACCCTCTTACGGCAACTGTATTTGTAAGAACAAATTAATAAAGAGACAGAAGTCCTGATTTTTACAGCCACCAACTACATGAAGAGGCTCATATGTTGCAGGTGAGCTTCTTGAATGATCAGGGCCTGAAGGGCTGTGCCCCCAAGGAGAAGATTTACATTTACCTAAAGAGATTTATAGTGTGTTGCACAACAGACTGAGCTTCTTGGCACTGGTGCAGTATAATACTAATTAACATGTATTACATAAAAGAGCATTTCTTAGCATAAGCAAACTGGCATTAATGGAGCTGTCTCAGTGTGTGCCTTCAAGAGTATTATAGGGGCAGCTGATTGCCTTATTATGCAGTGGTACTAGGCCAGTCTTTTTTCTTGGTGGCTAATGTGTTGGTGCCATCCTTTCAAGCCAGATTTTAGCATTCTTCTTCACCAAGTAAGCGCTTGTGAAACCAATGGGTCTGATTTTTGTCTTGTTCACAACAGAACAACTTCATTACTTCAATAGGATTTTATTTGATTTACCTCTGAGATCAGGCTGGAATCTCATGGCACTTCTCATGCAAGGAGTATAAAAATTGCAAATTAGACTTAATTGTTAGCAGTTCATGTGATCTATCAGAAGGGGAAGAAATATTGATACCATGTATGCAGTGTTACTCTGACCAAGCTGGAGAAGGCAGAAGGGGTTTGCTTTCCCTGTAAATTGAACTACATACACTGTACTGCTTCTCTTCTCTGGTTATATATGTATTTTATTCTTTTCTTAACCAGCTAAAATTTTGGTCCATTGTGCAGTTGGAGTAAGCAGGTCAGCTTCCCTCGTCCTGGCATACCTCATGATAAATCACCACCTCCCGTTGGTTGAAGCCATCAAAACAGTGAAAGAACATCGATGGATTTCACCCAATCGTGGCTTTCTGAAACACCTGCAAAATTTGGATGTTCAGCTACGGCAAAAGAAGGACTGCTGAAAGGGCAAAACCATTTACATTCACTTCTCTGAATTTCAACCTTCATAGTCATTGTGCTTCCTGTGCTTGATGCATATTGAAAAAAATGAAGAAAATTATGCATCAAAGAAAAAAGTCAACAGAACTGTAAATTGATTCATTCTGATAGCTCAGTTTCTCCAAAACCAGTACAGCCAAGATCAGCACCATAAGCACTGTGTGCTGCAGTGCCTAACACAGTGCAACCAGATGACTCCACTGGAGTGGTTAAGATGGCCAGAGATTGGTCCTAGTTTGTGCTAGTGCCAGAGGCATGTTCAGTAATTGCATGTATCTGTACAGTATGCTTGCATGCCCTTTACTTTGGAGTGTAACAGCCAGTTTCCTCGGTTTGGTTACAGTTCTTCTGTGCGTGTTTTCATAAGAAAATCTTTTTGTATTTCAGGCCTGGTGATGTGGTGAGGAAAATTTCTTAAAAGCACAGGCATTGCTGTAGAAACATTGCTCGTTCACTGGCCTTCTAAATACTACAGAGTTACTACAGAAAGCTGAGACAGCCTGAAGACCCACAGCAGCAGAATAGACTTCTGTGCAGCTCTCTGCAGTCTCTGGGTCAACAAATCTGCAAACATTTCCTTGTGTAAATATGTTTTCAGCAAGATAGTGGATATTATGCAGTATACTGAGGACATTTAAAAAAAGATGTCAACTCTTCAAAGCGTTTTGTAAGCTCATTAGTTCACTCTCCCTCACAATTATCCCAAATCAGTTCTGTGTAAGTGGCTTTGAATCATCCCTGATTTGATCATCAGGTAGGAACTTTGCTTATGTCAGTGGCTAGGCTTAATTGATAGTAATTAGTTTTAAGCTGTTTTGAGGATGTCACTTTTCCTATCACCAGTTAATTGGTACTTAAACCAATGTGATGGTTCATGCAGCAACAGCTGTATTTGAATTTCATGCTACTACTCTGCCTGAAAATTAGCTTGTTACTTTGTGATGAACCATGAAGTGATAATCAAATCTATTTTTGCACTTTGCTACTGGTTTGATTTATTGATTAGCTGACCTTTTAAACCTTCCCCGCAAGATTAAATAAATACATTTATGCTTGTTTGCATTTGAAGCATCAGTTCTGATCGTTTTCCTCTCCCCTGAGAGAGACTTGCAAGGTTCTTTGAAAACTTAAATAGTGATAACTTGTGAGTTAAAACTCTTCCTTCCCAGGACCCCTATACTCCTTAATTCTTGGAGAGATTATAACATGAATACTGCTACTGCCTAGCACATATAGGAATGTAGAATTCCCTCCCCATTTCAGTGTACACAAATGCTTTCCAAAGTAAGCAGATTTAAGATCCTTTCAGAGGTCTATTTGATGATCCAGATTTTCCTAGATGCTGCCAAAGAGCTCCACTGATGAGAGAAAGAGAAGACAGTGTAGTGTAAAAAGATCAAATAGAAAATCACATTTAAAGCCCAACAGTGCTAAGACAATCTTCGTACCTCACAAAGCAGCAGAGTGGTGGAGGAGGGGGTGGGTTTGCTTTGAAGTTTTCCATTAGAGTTAATAGGGACTTATATGAGCTAATATTTCATTATAATTTATACTTTATTCACGTTACAGTAGGTTTTAGTCTGGAAACCCTTTCAAGACATGGCATTGAAAAATCTGAAATTCACTTGAGTGGAATAATGCATCTTAATGGCCTTAGGCTGGGCAAAATTAGACATGTGTGAGCAAGATTAATGGACCCCCCCACCAGGATTATGTTTTGCATGCCCCTGAACATCTGTCCCACAAAGCCACAGCTGTGAAAGCTGCTTCTGTTGTAAATTAGTACCTGCTCTCAGAGATACTGCTCATCCTGGGAGAGGATTGTTTCATCAGGAGAAGAGTACAAAGCGAAGCTGAGTCAGTATAGCATCTATGCCACCAGTGACATGGTAGTGATCTTGTACAGCAAGACTTACCCCAGTGGAGGGAATGAATTAGTTAGAAACTCTTTTCAAGGACACTGGCAAATCACAGAAGTGTTTCTTATCTGTGCAGTCAGTATTGTCTATATTTCCTGCCTGGGTGTATTGCTCTCTTCCTTATATACAGTTTAAATTTGGCTCCAGGTCTGCTCAGGGAAAAAGACTCTAGTCAACATAAGCAAAAGGTCTGCTCAGGAAAAAAAAATCCAGTCAACATAAGCTAAAGCAGTAGAATTAGTCCTGTAACTGCCTAAGCAACCCAGGAGACTAAAGGAATTGAATATTAACTCTTAATTGAGGGAGGGTCCTTAGAAAGATATTGAAGTACCTAAAGGTAGCCTGGGTACCTGCAGAATAGGCCAAACTACCTAGGTTCATGCAGCGGTGCCTTCATGCCCCCCGAGGAGCCTGCAGGAACTACCAATTCTGGAAATCCAGCCTGGCCAGGAGCTGATTACTTTCCATCTCCTCTGAAACAGGCACACAGGCATTCCTACCCCAGACTTTCCTTGTCCTGGGGTCTTTCCTTTGTCTTTTCTTAATTCCTTTATCCGTTTTCAAGTTTCTTCATTTAGTTTTTATGTTTAGCTTTAAAATGCATCTGACAAAGTCCACAGAGGAGTGCATATGATCCAGGAATGAGCCCTTCCTGTGGGAAAGGACCACGCCAGAACAAAAAGTTGGACCTCCTCCGAAGACAATCTGAAAACCAGGTTTTTATTCTTTTGAGATCAATTTTCATTGAGACCCAGTTCCTGAGCCACCTTACCAAGTGGGTAATGAGGACTAGTGCCAGCTTAGCAGAGGCTGCGAGTGTGTGTCTGTGAGCAGAGAGCACAGTGGAAGGGACTGTCCCAACTACAGCTGACATATATCTGCTTAAAGCAGTCACAAAACCACAGTGTTGCCTGAAGTGAACCATGTAAAAGCCCACTGGAAACTTCTCTTAATTTTATTTTCCAGTACAAGAAGTCAGGGAATCAAATGAAGTCAGTAGAAGCCAGGTCTAAAACAAGAGGAGGGGGTTTAGGTGAGCTGTGTAATGCCTTGCTGCAGGATGTTGCAGAGGGTAAAAGCCTATAAATGTTCACAGGATACCTAGAAGAGCTAATGGGATAGAAATACATTCAGGGTTACCAAATACTTAGAAACTCCCTCCAGATCAAGAAGCTCATGAGCTGCAGCCAGCTGGAAGCTGGGAGAGTGCTAGAAAGCAGTGTAATTTATGTTTGTGTGTTCTTATTTTCTGTAGGCATCCACTTACAGCCAGTCATGCACAGGATAGTGCACTCAATGGACCTTTGGTAAGAAGGCCCAGGACAGCTGCTGTCGTGGTCTTTATTTTGAACTCCCCCCCTAAGATGAGCTGTCCCCTCTTTCCCGGTAGCTTATTATTAGAACTGGGTCACATGAGACATTTGGGACTGCATCTCAGTTGCGTTGACCGACATTTCTTTCACAGGGAAAGCTCTATGCTGGCAGGCACACCAATATAGCTTACGTGGGGAGGGCAGTAGCAGGGGTTTTGTGTGAGATTCGCTTCGTAGAGAATCTTCATTTTCGTGGCTGTTCCCCATTGCATCAGGGATGAGGCGCTGAGCTAATCCGGGGAGGCGTCAAGGCGCGAGCTGTATTTAGAGACAGCCACCTGCTTGGGAACGTCAAGCAGCAGCAAAGAGCATGCTTCAGCAAAAAATATCCCCTGTGGATTCTGCAGCAGCGGCACCCAGCAGGATCCCCCCTGCCTAAATCTGTGTGTGGCCACCAAAGGGGTCAGTGCCTGAAGACAGTCAGACCTTGTCAGCCCAGGAATGCTCTAAGCCTGGTGCTCCTTCTGCCCAGGAACTGCCAGATATTTTGGACAGCTGCGATGTGGAGTTAAATCACATGGGTGAAGAATGGCCTAATCTCTACATAGGCAATATGTAAGTGTTATCTGAGGCTGTGCTGCTCTGAAGGGCTGGGGAATACAGTACTGGTTAACATATGCTGTCCAAATACTTTATTTAGTTAGCTTGTTAGACTTCGTTGCCTTAAAATAGGCTTACAATTATCATAGAAGAAAGTAAAAAGATTATTAAAAAAATAACCTACAGAAGAGAATAAAATTAATTAAAAAGAGACTAAGACTCTCTTTATTGCTTTGCATTATAATTATTCAACATACAGATTTTATAAATGCTGCAACATTTACCATATAAAGCACAAGGCAGACTCATGATCCTGAGTAGACTTAAAATTGAACTATGATTGGGTCTAACTTTTTGAGTTTAATTTTAACTAGAATAGAATTTTTCACAGAAAAAAAGCATTCTACTTTTTGCTGTTTGTATGACAACTTGATTTGCAGTTGAAATTGATGACAAAAAAATGTATGGTTATTCTCCTGAATATATGCTGTCTGCTGAACGACAGCCAACTTCACTGTTTATTTCTTGTACTTGTGCGGATGGTTGTTTTGCTCTGGAGCATGGAGAAAGCATGCAGTCACCTGCACTCAACATGCCTAGTACCAAATGTTATGCCAAAATGAGTTCTTTCCACCACCAGCAGGTTGCAAACTTGTTGAAATATCAATAATCAGTAATTCCTATATGAGAGAAGCAGGAGGAACTAACGATCCTTTGGCCAATTAGACATTACAAGCTAATTGGTCATTATTTTAGCTATGAAAAAACCAAGCCTAAAAATGAGGTAGATGACAGGGAAATAATCTCCATTTACAAAACTTGGTTTTAGAAATTACAGCCTGCTTCCTAATCTGTGTTTCTAATCAGGAATGTGACACCCTGCAGATGAGCCATGTGCACAGCAGGTGGGTGGCTGCCCACTGGTAGGTACTGGTGGGCACCCAGAAACACAGTTGTGTTGGCCTGGCCTGGATGTGGAAAGGCAGAAGCCAGCAACATGCAATACTTCAGTGAACTGCCTTGGTGATGGGAGTGGGAACCAACCTTCGCCTTTCCAGTTAAAGGAAACTCGTAACTATACTTGGAAATTGACTTTTTTACTGTAGTAGAACCATTTGCAGAAATAAGGATTTGCAGGATTGAGCCCAACAGGTAGTAAAAGCAAAGATTTAAGACTATAAAGATCACTGAAATTGTATTGTCTTAACACCATCATTTGACTGTAGACATTCTTCCAAGTGCAGTTTTAAGACCTCCATTTAATCCCTGTGGGTATATATGTTCCAAAGCGTTCTTGGATGTTTATTCTCAATATCATTCTGTCTCTTGGGGAAAAAAAAAAATGGTGGGGAAAAATGTACAGATAAGACAGTGTGTACATGTAGTAACGAAAAGACGAACTTCAAGAACATTCAGCTCACAAGAATAAAATTGTAAACAGGCTTGTTTGCTAATGCAACAGCTGATTGCTAATATTGAGCTTAAGTACAACGAGTTACAGACTGCAATCAGTGAAACTGGAAGTTTATCAAGTGCTATAGATAGAATTTTCTTTGCCAACATCAATAAGACAAATCAGAACAGCACCTGAGAATAAGGTTTCATGGGATCTTCCTGAGGGAGAAACGCGGAATAAATAGGGTATTTGCATTTAGAGCCCAACCCAATACTCAGTGAAGTCAATAAACAGAGGAAGCCTCTGCTCCTGAGCAAACCTATGCCAACATCAGGACTTGTGCCAGAGCTAAAATAACCCGAAGCAGTAGGGTAAATTGTCACTGCTTGTTTTTGTGGAACCAGTTAAGTGCAGTTTATATGGAGCTACCTGGAAATCAAAGTTCAATCTAGAATTAATGCTGTATTTTATAAGAAATATTTCTCCTCATGACTTTATCAGAAATTTAATGGTCAGCTTTCTTTAAAGAAGTTAAATATCTCTTGTAAAATAAAGTATGAACGGCTGACTTTACATGATGAATTTCATGTGTTTCATCCTGGAGGACTTTGAAGTTGTGAACAAACCAATTATTAAATATTTGTCTGTCTATCAGCTATTGCTGATACAAAAGGCCAAGGCCTTTAATTAACTAATTAATTAAACCCTTTGGGTTTGAAAAGTAAAATTTTTTTAAAGTGATAGATAAGCATCTAAGGGAAAAAGATTTAAAATATCCTGCAGAAATCAAACTTCATGCTGATCTTACGCAGGCAGGTTTATCAACTGGAGTTTAGCCAGATTAGCAAGGCTAATACCGCTCAAAGAAACTGCACAAAAGAATCAAAGAATACTATTACAGGCTGAAGCAAAATGGTTACAGGCTATGCTAAAACCTGGGCGTGTTCTTTCAACATGCATATTTCAAGTCCAGTTGTAGGAGGACCTGAGCTACTTCATGAACTGAATTTCCGTAAGGTGTTTGGGCCAATAATTCACAATAACTTTATAGTCAGCTGGAGCCTGTAACACTTGTTAAAAAAAATTAGGAAATTATAGGCAGGAAACTGTCTTTACATAAGTGAAATAACTTGGAATCCTGCGTTTCCACATATATTTTGCATATATTCAGCAATCACGACCTTTTACTTTTCTTTTACTACCTTACTCTTTCTTACACAACATGTCTCAAAACATGGTGGATGCTGGACTCTAGAGATAGGAATACATTGCAAGATAACAAGGCACCTTGAATTGCTTTCTCTTGTGAGTTTTCACATATGATTCTCCACAGCTCCATAGCCCATAACAAGAAAGTCCTGAAGAGGCTTGGTGTCACCCATGCATTGGATGCTGCATGTAGGGAAGCAAATGAGATCAAACATTTCACGGCCAGGAAATGCATTATGATGGAATACCTGCAGAGAACTTGATCGGCTTTCACCTTGGTGCACGTTTCTGTACTGCCTCTGAGCGCATTCCCAAGGCCAAATGGTGAGTCTCTCTCCTGGTGGTAAACCACTGCTCTTATGCAGCACTTTCATTAAGCGATCACAAATCACTTAAGCAGCATTAACTAAACCTCACTCAACCACATGGGTAAGCCTAATTATCCACTTACAGACATTGTCTTTGTTGGCAGGTGGTAGGACAGCAGGATCCTGAAAGATTAGGAGCAGCCAATGTCCAAATCAGTGGCAAGGATCACAGTGGTTTACTGGGAATCATCAGAGTGTATTTCTGTAGCAGGAGAAAAGAAAAAAAAAAAAGGCAATTATAAAAGGGAATGATGTTGTATTATAGAGAATGCAGAGAAAATTCTGAGTTCTCAGCCAGAAACCACTGATTTCTTAAGTTTTTCAGTATTGATTCATCAGCATACACAACACAAGAATTGTTCCTTTCAGGTTTGAGAAACAGCCAAAAGCTGCAAAGAGCTATCATAGAGACATGCCAATTGGCCATTTAAAAAGCCTAATGGCATGTGTTTTACACTCTTTCCGGACTTGGATCTCTAGTAACAAGAAGTGGTTCTTGATTTATGGAAGGATGAATGTAATACCCTGGAGGCTGCTTTATCTCAGCTGCTGTAAATTGCATCTCTCAGAGATGAGATGAGATGAGATGTGAATGAGGCAGGAGTATGAGCTTTGCAGTCTATGACCGTGGCATTATTCCATGCAGCCTGGAACAGCACTACGTGTATTTATTTCTATTTTGAAGGGGATATCTTTGTCCATTGTATTCTTAGAAGAAGCAGATCTGCTTCCCTTTTGCTGGCTTACCTTATGATCTTCTGTTACTTTCCTCTAGGCAATGCTATCCCAAGAGTTCTCCAGTAGCGAGCAATTTTATCAAGCTGCAGGATTTACGTATCGAACTTAGATACAGTGTACACCTATGTAAGCTCTAAACTCTTATGACATAAAAAAAGATCAAAGAAACAGGAAGGAACATCAGACAGACAATCTGAATATGAGATAAAGGTGAAAGGAACATGACCTAAAGCTTTGGCATCAAACCTAACTTTCCTCTCTGTTTAGGGGCTAGAAGGTTTCTAAATTCCATATGTTCCAGTCTCTCCTCAGTCATTTGGTTAATGAAGGCAACAAAAGTGCTAGATACTCCTCTAGGATACATTCCCAGTTTGTTGTCCATTCTGCTCAATAAAACACTTAGAACTCAACACCAGAAGAAAACAGTCCCCTGTTTAAAGTTAAAGGTCTTAAAGATATCCCTTGCCATAAAAAGATGCTAACCTGTTTTGCTGTATTGGGATCAGCAAATGAAAAGGGAAAAAAATGTCATAGTCCAGCATGTACAAGAAGTCACCCATATGTGGGACAGAATTTTCCCACCCTGGTGACAATAGATGCTCACTGGCCAGGGACTTCCCAGAGGTGGCTTCTTCCTACTATGCCCTCTGCCCAGCTCTGTCTAGTTTTATAAACCTGAGATTTACGGCAAATGTAATAAATTTTCAGCCATAAATGAGCCTTCATTTCATGCTCAGAATTCTCCATTCCCATCAAAATTTTTTTACACAAATATTGATCTGTCTTTTGCACTAATGAACACAGAATTTCTTAAATTGACAGAGATATTTCGTAAAGGAACTGGTCTTTCAACCCTACTCTGCTTCCTCAGAAGACAGGTTTCTCCCAGTACCCTGTCTACTGACTGTCTCACAGAGGAAAGGGGATTGCAAAGATAAAATACTACTCAGGCTTTTGAAATGACTGCCCAAATTGGCAAGTTAAGCTAGACAACTCCATGGCAGAGGGGTCAGAACTAGGTGATCTTAAGGTCTTTTCCAACCCTAACTATTCTATGATTCCATGACCCTGGGGTAGTTCTCAGAGCAGGTCATCTTAGAGCTGTAAACCAATTGTAGTTTTAGACTGAAGTCCTAGACATGCAGAGGTAAATACCTGGGGAAAGTTGCTGGTGGCAATTCCAGCATCTCAGCAGAACTATGTAGCATTTGCCCAGAGCTCATTTGCCGCATGCATACATTTCCATACAAGACAACACAGTGCAACAGCAGAACACCAACACTGGGGGCAAATTAATCCTCGGGGAAACTCCCACCAAAACCAGTGGTGGAACCCAGGGCTGAATTTGCCCTCCTATTTCCGAAAAGAGAAGCCTGCCAAGGACGGTATGGCCGAAGAGGCACACAGAGCTGGCAGGCTCTCAAGTGTCAAAATAGAACCAGCATCGCTGGCCACGTACATCTCATGCTTTGCAGGCGAGACATAGACAAGAAAAACAATCAAGTTGTCTGGTGGAAAAAGCAGTTTCCCAGGATCGCTCTAGCCACAGTGTAATTGTGATCAATCTACATTGGCAAGTACCAGCTTTCCATGTGTGTTTCGCCTAATGCAGGCTGCCTGTGGAGAGCAGCTCAGGCAGGCTGATGCATGCTTGTTATCGCTGGCGTAAATATCTTTGCCTTGTGTTATTGTGGCACAAAGCAGCTGGACCATTTGAAAACCATTTAAAAAGCACTATAAAATTAGGGCTCCAGTGCTCTTATTTTATGACTTTCATGAGCAACCATTGCCTGGAGAGAAATTATCCTCTTTATTTTCAAGGCTAAAGGTTCTTTTAACATTCATCAAAATCGAAGTGCACCCTTGATAACACATTGAGCTGTTACTTATCTCATACAGATCTTTACCTTCTGCATAATATAATGTTCGAGATCTCAGTTCTTCACATACAACTCATTTCATTGTTGTCTGCTGTTGTTAGCACCAAGTGAATTTGTATAGTTTTAGGAGATACTGGCTGATGCCCTGAAACATATTCTTTCCATAATTCCTAATTCTTTTTTAATTTCTAAAACAATAGCCTGGAGTGGTTTTGTTACTAATCCCTCTATAAAAATGGTCAATTACCTCTTCTGGCAATGGATTTGCACAGACCAATTAAACACTGTACGATTTTTTTCAAGGGCATGAACAGTACTTAGGTGCATAACCTGATAGACTCTGCTTTCTGCCTTTGAAAAATCTCTCCCCCATGTTTATATATATATATATATATAAAAAGTTTTTCATAATTTTCCTTTTTTTCTGGTCTTGTTTTCACAGACAGCTTCTTTACCAAACTCAGGAAAACGGTGAGTGAACCAACATAGCGTGACAAAATGTAAACAGTACAAAGGGAAAGTCATTCTCTTCAGAAATAAAAAAGAAATGCAGCTATATTGAACATACTTAAAGCTCAGATTGAAGGGCTTAGGAAGAGACATTGCATGAAATCCTCAGCCACAGGGGTTGTAAGTGGAGAATAGTGACACCCTGCACATCCTCTGTCCTGCAGCTCAGGAAAACCACTGTTTTTTCTCTGTGTTGCTTAACCTGCCCTCGGTTTCTGTAAGAGACTGGTCCCCTTATTATTATCCAGACATCAAATACAGACTGCTGATACAAATTTAGGAAGTCATAACCCTAGCTCTGTTCTCTTGGTTCCCTCTTTGGCCAGGATTTTGTCTTTATTTCCTCTGGGGGTAGCAGGTTGCCTTCCTGTGCCAAAAGGTGGCATGCTTTCAGATCTCTTCAAGGGGGGCTGATGATGCTAATAGATCCCGCTGTGAAAGTGATGTGTAGCTATGTAGAGGAGCTGTAAAGTCAAGATGCAGCATCCTACATGGAAGAGATGTAACCAGGCAGAAGGCAGGCTGTGCGTGTGCAAATGAGAGCCTCATCACCATGCCAGCACCTCTGCTAGCAGAGGGAGTTTGAATTTTTTTACCAGAGAGGTCTTGCCTGTCATCAGCCAGTTTCTGACTCATCAACAGGATGCCTAAGCTAACGGATGAAATGGAGTTACTTGGTAATCACAATTGTTTATGATCCTAGGAAGGAAAAAAATGGGACAGGCATGATCAACAGATCCTAGCACTGTCTTCTGTCACCATGGATAAAAAACCTGGGACGGACATACAGTCAGTCAGGATAAGACAGCACCTCAGCTCTACCGCATGTTTTTCTGTTCCAATAGTCAGCAAATCAATAACCCTCTTCCTGTATCTGACAGTCGCAGTAATAAAAAAGGAGCCCAACTGAGCTGACATAGCTCTGGGCATTTCAGACCAGATTTGACCTTTTGGGTTAGGACCAACCTACTCAATCTCAGCCATTACTTGCAGCAATGGTCAAGAGCAAGCAGCAGAAGAGCAGAGTTCAGTGCAGAACCCTCGAGCCCTGACCCAGCACCACAACCATGACATATCACCTGTGTAGGAACATCCTCCTTTCTGAGCTGACCTGCACACTGTTCCCTCACGTATATACACCTCACCCAGTAGAATAGAAATAGAAAATCCCTTTTACCCAGAACTTTCAGTTCCTGTGCAGCTCCGAATTTGTCTTTGTTTTGCGGATAAACCTGTGCAGAACAGTTTCTTGCTATAGTCTTCACTTAAAAAAAAAAAAAAGAGAATTAGCTGAAAGAGGAGCTTCTGCTTTCAAGCATGGAAAGGGAACAGGTGTCTATAGCCCTATACACACATACCTACTAAAACCTCAAGGTATAAAGGGTATGTGCTTACTCACCTCATGTCCAGAACAGGATTAAGCATACCCTGGCACTCCTTTGATCTAGATGAATCATTGCTGGAAGCCTGGCAAAAGGACCGAGGTGGTAGTATGTCCTGGATGAGGCAGACTGAGAGCCATCTTGTGCTCTGTTAAACTTGCCCATTTTCAGGAAGGCTTAATCTATTTCTGAATAGCAGGTGGAACCCTGTAACTCAGAGGTAGGCAGCCAAAGGGCAAAGGAAAGATGCTGGATGTTGGCAGTGTTCTTGTGGTGTGTCAGAAGCTGCAGAGCTTCCGTTCTTTCTTCACAAAATGAAGCTGATTCTGCTGCTAATTGCAGAACCCAGCTGGGTACAAAGTCATTTTATCAAAAGCAGCAATATAAGAAACAGTACCTTAAAAAGCCAAGTAGGATTGGAATCCTGAGGGGGAAGGTGTGAGAGCACTGGGGCCTGTGTTAGCATCATCTCAAGGATCAAAAGTGTTCCTGCCTAGGTGATGGGTGTCTATATCATCAGTTGCTTTTCCTCATCATTAACAACAGCTGAAAGTCACTTTAAATATTCTTCTTCTTCACTCTTTATCCCTTGTCATTCTCCTCCTTGCTGCCACTGTGAAACGCATGTTGGTTCATACTGATAAATGTATTCCTGGCCTGGGAGGCACATGCTGGATGTCTAGTGCCCATGTT